TAAGGAACGCAAAATCCGGGAACATAACACCGATATGACGGAAACTAGGGCGGCAAGAGTGGAACAAAACACTAGGCATAGGGCCGAGCCTTCCACCCTTTACCAAGTATATAGGTGCATTAAGATAAACAAGATAATATGGTGATATCCCAACAATAAACAAGTTCCAACAAGGAACGATCTCTAATCTTCACCTGTAACTAGCAACGCTATAAGAGGGGCTGAGCAAAGCGGTAACATAGCCAAACAACGGTTTGCTAGGACATGGTGGGTTAGAGGTTTGACATGGCAATATGGGAGGCATGATAAGCAAGTGGTAGGTATCGTAGCATAGGCATAGCAAAAGAGCGAGCATCTAGCAAGCAAAGATAGAAGTGATTTCGAGGGTATATATGGTCATCTTTCCTGCAGAGTTCTCATAGTTGCCCTGATCCTCATAAGCGAACTCAACGGGCTCCTCGTTCTCGTACTTGTCTCCCGGCTCTACCCAAACAAGAACAACAACCAAAAGGAATACAATCAACCACATGCAATGCTCAAACAACATGATGCAAACATGGTATGATATGAGGGATGCGATATGTGATGCATATGCAAGATTTGAAAAGGAATGATTGAACCTGGCCTCAACTTGGAAATCCAAGAGTGCCACTGGAAAGGGGAGTTGATTTTGATTGAAATCGATATAAAGATCACCGGAATCGGATGCACGGTTTGGAAATGGCAAGCAAAACAAATATGGCACCGGTCTGCGATAAACAGCAAGTAGCCTCCTAAATGCATCAAGAACAACATGCTACAGCACTCAAACATAGCAACAAAATACATGGCAGGGATCCACTCATGATGCTTGACAAAAGATGAACACTGAGCTACGGCTAATTCACTCAATAACAGGCTCAAACAAGCATGACAAAAGTGCAAAAGATAACAGGTTTCAGACTTAGTGAAATTAACAAGTCAGGAATTTATCATCAGGAAGCAATCTTTAGAGCATGATAACTATATGATACAGGAACATATCATGGCAAAGCAAGGCATGGCATGAAGCTACTCTAAGCATATAACAAAAGTCCCTTAGTGACCATGAGCCAAAAGGGATCAGAAAATAGAATTGCAAGCATGTGAACATAGCAAAAATATAAACAGATTCAGACTTAGTGAGAAACTGGAGCATGGCAAAACAGACATCAAGTAGGCATGTTTACGAGCTCGATGCACTCACTACGAGGCATTGCATGACAAACTAAACATACACCCAGAAAATAGACATAGCATAGAAGCTATACATGGCAAGAACAACATCATAGAATGCACGGATCAACAACAACAAGCTCGGCAAAATTGCTAAACATGTTAACAATCTGCCAGAAACATTTTATAGAAAAAGTAGAGCTCGATTGACTCAAGCAGGGTGCTCCATAATTGCAAACAAAGATATTTTTGTGCCAGGTGAATTTTAATCTAAAATTACAAACTAGACCCTAGAATTTTACATAGACACCCCTAAATCAAAAATGAAAAACGCAATTAGCCCCCAGTTGTCGTTCTGCAGTAGATTGGCGGCGCGTTGTCCGATTTGTCCGTCGGCAGTGGGTGCAGAACGCCGTTGCTCTGGTCGTCGTCCTCCCGATGTAGCCCCACGCGCTCACCATACAGAGTTGTGCCCAGGTCGCCGACTGCTGCCGAGACAGGCGCCACGCCATGCTCGCCGAGGAGCTGCGCGCCGCAGAGGACCGTGTCGGCGGCTGCGATGATCAGAGATCTATGGACTCCAAGAAGCAGTGGGGGAAGGCGTTCGTGGACTACTTTTGCCGCGCGGACGCCGAGCTCGAGGCGCCGGACACCGCGGGGACGAGGTGGTGACCGCGCTCGTCTGCTCGTCCCACATCATCGTCTCCAACTGCGGGGACTCGCGGGCGGTGTTGTGCTGGAGCAAAGCGCCATTCCCACTGTCTGTAGACCATTTGCAGAAAGCCAATGTGGCCAGATTCGGATGGGACACGACGGCGGCCTGGGGAGAAAAGGGGCGAGAGACGCCGGCTCTAGCCGCTCCTTGGCCAGGGGGGAGTGGGAGTAGAGATGGGCCACGGGCGGTGTCCTCTGCCTCGCCCTCGGTGCAGGAACGGTGACGGTAGGACTCTGCGGGGATCGGGATGGGAGCGGCCGAGGGTTGGGACGGATGGCGGCCGTGGTCGGGGTCAGGATGGGCCTGGGAAAGGGAGAGAAAGTTGGGGGGCTTTTCATATTAAACCTAAACTGTTATGCCACGTAGGCAAAAAATGGACCCCACCTGTCATAAACTCACTTAATTGAGCCTGATCCGCCGATCAGTGTTTTTTGCAAAAATATTACCGTAGACGTGGTGTTTTTTGTAAAAAAATGTATTGTAGTGTTTTTTATAAATCTAACCTTCAAAGTGGTGGTTTTATGTAATTTACTCCCTTGCGGTGTGCAAGTGCGCCGCGTATGCGCATGAGCGTATCAAACGCTGGGACGAAGTCACGAAGAGCACACGGCCGGCCCCTGGTATGATGGAAACCATGTCCTCGACGGTAATACGCTGACACGAAGCAGGCGGTTATGGCCGGCTGTTATATCGTGGAAACCATGGCCTCCGGCCTCTGGTTTCCGCTGCCCGTCCGTGTCTCCCATACATCCGCTCTCGTTCTTTTTTTCGAAAAGGGGTTTACCTCAGCCTCTGCATCAGAAAGATGCATACGGCTCATAAAATTAAAAAAATTCAGTAACAAAGTCTCCAAGTATCGATGAGCGGAAAAAAAGCAAAAGCTCGAAAGAGCTGAAATCCTAAGCCACAACCGGCTGGCAAACACAATAGGAGCACTACATGCCTATCCTATTACATGACCGCCATCCAAACCGGTTGAAAATATCCCGCGCTACCATCTCCCATCGGGTAGACGCAGTAACCATACGCTCCCTGGCCTCCGTCGGAGTGAGTAGCGACCACATACGGATGAATGCCGTTGCCCTGAAGATAACCTGCAAAAAGTGAATGTTTGTTGATCTGTTAAATACTAAATCATTTTTGCAGTTCCATACTGCCCAAAGTAAAGCACAAACGCCAACACGAATGTGTCTTGCAGTATCAGAAACAACCCCATCAAGCCATGGTCCAAATAACATGTTGATAGAGGTGGGTTGATTAATATTAAACGCAATATGAATCGACCGCCACAGAATCTTAGCCAACGGACAATCGAGGAAGAGGTGTTTGATGTTTTCATTATTATCGCAAAAGCTACACCTAGATGAGCCCATCCAGTTGCGTTTTGCCAGGTTATCCTTAGTCAAAATGACCTGTTTATGCACAAACCACATAAACACTTTAATGCATAAGGGAACCTTTACTTTCCAAACGTGAATCGAGGAAGGGACAACGCTAGAGTTAATGACATCCAGATACATAGACGTAACCGAGAACGCACCGGTCTTAGTAAGTTTCCAACGCAACTGATCTGGTTGCTGGTTCAGCCGAACCTCCATTAAACGTCTAACAAGGTGGAGCCAAGCCTCCCAACGATTTCCGACTAGCGTCCTCCGAAAACTAATATTGAGGGGAGTGGATTGTAGAACAGATGCAACGTAGGCTTCTCTACGTCGCACAATGTTGTACAAAGTAGGGTATTGAAGTGCAAGGGGAGTCTCCCCAAGCCACGTATCCTCCCAAAATCTCGTAGTGGCTCCATTCTCGACAATAAATTTTGACTTGTTGATAAAAAGCTGTTTGACTCTCATCAAACCCTTCCAAAAGGGTGAGTCGGAAGGCCTCACATTTACCTGGGCCAGGGTTTTAGCATAAAGATACTTATTACGCAAAATCTGAGCCCAAGTAGCTTCCGTCTCGGTCGAAAGTTTAAAAAGCCATTTGCTAAGGAGACATATGTTTTTAACTTCCAAATTTTCAATGCCTAGACCCCCTTGATCCTTAGGCCTACATATTATATCCCACTTAGCAAGCTTGTACTTTCGTTTGAGGTCATCATTCTGCCAAAAGAACCGAGATCGGTAAAAATCTAACCTTTTCCTGACTCCCACCGGAACCTGGAAAAAGGATAAGAGAAACATAGGCATACTGGTAAGGACCGAATTAATCAGAATCAATCGTCCTCCGTATGACATGAGCTTTCCTTTCCAACAGCTGAGTTTTTTTTCAAAGCGATCCTTGATGCATTTCCACTCATTGTTAGTCAGCTTACGATGATGAATGGGTATACCTAAGTACGTAAACGGTAAGGAACCCAATTCACATCCGAACAATTGTTTATACGTGTCCTGGTCCTCCTTTGCTCTTCCAAAGCAAAACAATTTGCTCTTATGAAAGTTAATTTTAAGGTCAGATAGTTGTTCAAATAAGCATAAAAACAGCTTGATGTTTCTTGCTTTCGCCAATACATCCGCTCTCGTGGTCAGCCCAAGAGCATGCTGACAAAAATCCTAGTTAACCTACGTCTGAGAATGAGTAAGCAGAGGACAAAGGAGGATTGTGCACATTACAGAGTCAATTAATCCTGACCATCTGTAGGTTTTCTGATCAGATCAGAGTGATATGCAGTCATTAAGCCATACTGATAAGAAGCCTTTTCTGATCAGACTCAGGTGTCTCCTCGCGGTGTGCAGGTGCGCCGCGTATGCGTATGAGCGTATCAAACGCTGACACGAAGTCACGAAGAGCACACGGCCGGCCCCTGGTATGGTGGAAACCATGTCCTCGAGGAAGCGTCACTCCAATCTTATCTTATCTCTGCCTTGTCCGATCGTAATGGACAAAACCACGGAGGAAAGCAAGATCTGCTGGGAGAACGAGCTCTCGTGAAAGCACCCGGTATGCTGGAAAACCAGAGCCCGCGGCCGCCTGTTTTGCTCCGGCTCTCGACGTATATAACCCCGTCCCACTCCCACTCTTCCCCCATCAACACAAGCAAGCATCAGTTCCTTCGGTACCGTAGCTGTAAGCAACGCAGCAAGAAGCATAGACCATGGCAGCTCCAGCCAAGGCATCGTGGATGGTGGCGATGAGCGTGGGCACTGTGGAGGCGCTCAAGGACCAGGCCGGGCTCTGCCGCTGGAACTACACGCTCAGGTCCATCCACCGGGCAGCCAAGGCCAACGTCCGCAGCGGCGTCTCGCAGGGTAACAAGCAGCTGCCTGCCTCAGTGTCCGCCGTGGCCGAGAGGCGCCCAGCGGAGAAGGCCGAGGAGGGGCTGAGGACTGTCATGTACCTTAGCTGCTGGGGCCTAAATTAGGAGTGGTAGTAGCTAGGAGTGTTGTGTTTGTTGCAGCAAGCAACTTAGTATTACTAAGCATCCATGGGCTGAGACTTGGCTCTGGTTGACCCCTGATCGGTTTGTAAAGATACCAGGACGATGATGATGATGAAAATTTTGGCTATGAGTTCATAATTTCTATCACCCTACTTGTCCATCCATGTGCTTCAGTGGCTTTTTTGAAAGGCCAAAGGCCATGCTGTATCAAGAGGGGGAGAAAGTTCACACAGGGAGATCAAGTCAGCAGAGCGAGGTGTTCAATAGAAAACAGAGGAGCTTCAGCTGCCTGTACAAAACAGCCAAACTCTGAACAAAGGTAGAACAGTGAAAACCGAAAAGGAGTTCGATCTCAGACCTTTTCAAATCAATTTGAACACCTCAAGGTCGCTGCAACGGAGGCCGTTAGAGAGTCTGACGTTTTGTTCCTTCCAACAATTTTACTTCTGATTATTTGGACGTTGTATGCTTTTCATTGGTTTCTGTTGCTTGGAGTTCTGTAAAAGACCCGCGGACCCGATCCAGGTTACACCGAATGCGTATGTGCGGGCAACTCCACCAGCGACCCCAAATGGACGTCCGGTTTGGCCGGATTTTGTCCCTTTGGGACGGCAATTGGTTCGTCCATGTTCGCCTCTGTTCGTTGGGTCGTGGATATGTCCAATGCGCGGCTGCACCCCAAATCATATTCAGGATGGATGTGACAAAAAAACAAAAAAACTTAAATAAAATGCTTAAAAAAGTAGATAAAACACATTTAAAAAACTTAAAACATAATTTAAGGTTCGCGTCCACAAAACGGCCTAGTTTTACAGTTTGCTTAAATGGCCCAATTCCATAATTTACATAAAACAAAATAAAAAAGCCGCCCGCGCGCTCCTACCGCGCCCGTCGATATCGTGGTTGTTGCCGTCTTCAGTGGCCGCCGGTGTCGTCGTCGTCGCTGACGAGGTCGACGTACTCCGGCGGCGCCCAGAGGTGGGCCGGCGGTCCGTGGTGCACGGGGCGGCGGGCTGGAAGGTGGTCGGTGCCTGCACCACCTCCTCCCGAGGCGAGGCGTCCCTCTCTGGTGACCGCGGCGGCGTGGGGAACCAGTTCACGCCCCCCACGGTGGCCGTCATCTGCTCCGCCGCGCACGACCAGCTCCACCCCTGACCCACCAGGCCTGGGTGAAAGGCGGCTCCTCCCTCACCTCCTCCTTCGGCACCATCTCCAGCTCGGGGATGGCGACGTCGTGCGTGCCATTGGCACTCGTCGTGCGTGCGCATGGAGTCCTCCATGACACGCATCATGAGACGGGCCTCCTCCTCCGCTGCCATGCGAGGAGGTGGAGGTGGTGACGGAGACGGGGAAGGCAACGGCGTGGGCGTGAGGCCGCGCACCCGCGTACGATAGCGCACCTCCTGACGTGGCCGCCGCGGCCCCGACACCGTGCTGGCGAAGTCGGGCGCGCGCCGCACGTCGTGCTTGTCCTGGAGCCACGTGTCCCACAACACGGAGTTGGGAGTGTACCTCTCGTCGTAGTAGAGATCATCCAGGAGGAGGCGGCGGCGCTCGATCTCATCGCGCCGCGCACGGCCGCTCGTCGGCACCGGCGGGATGGGGACCCGGTCCGTGGAGAGGTGCCAGTTGTTGGGAAGGTGCACGTCGCTCCACGGGACCGGCGTCCTCGTCTCCCAGTACCGCCAGCACACGTCCACGGCCAGGTACCGCCGGTCGCGCTCACCGGCGGCCCTAAGGACGATGGTGAAGGGGGCAGGTACGAGGGCTCGACTGGAGGAGCGCGACGGTGATGCGGCCTCCTCCTTCTTGACGAAGCCGCGGCGGCGTCCCGAGGAGGAGCCAGCCTCGCGGTCGTGCTTCCCCTTGCGGCCGTAGTTCCAAAGCCCCATGGCTACGACCGACCGGCGAGGTCGAGGACGGGGAGCTGCTAGGGTTTCAAGAGTGTTGGGTTTCGAGGGGGCAGAGAGGGGCCGTAGTGGGAAGTGTGGACGACGATCGGTCGACGGCTTCCCATTTAAAGAAGGACGGCGACCGTTCGCTGGGCGGATGACAGGTGGGGCCACCCCGCCTGTGCGCATTGATGTTGGCGGGTCGGAGGTAGGTGGCCCCCTGCCACGCGGCCCCGACGCGGACGTACGAAGCGTCCATTCATTGTCCGCCGCGACCCAAACCCGGCGCATGTTTGCGTTCGAAATGGGTCGGCCCGGACACAAAATGGACCAGATGGGTTCGGACCGTCGCGCACTGAGCCGCCTTGTTTGTCTCTTTTACCCCAAACGAACGAGGCCGGACAAAATGGGGTCGCGCGGTGGAGTTGGCCTGAGATGGCAGGAGAGGAGGGTGAGACTTGGAGCATAGAAAGGAGATGGGAAGCGTGGGCCTGATCCGATGTGACAAACACGTCCGGACGTCCCATACTCGCTCAATATTTGAACTACATATGAAGGGTACCGGTGGGTCCAGGCATTTAAAGCCGGTTTGAGGTGTCTGTATAGATTGATTTGTTTACCGGTCATTGACCGGACCGTCGGGCGTACGACGAGGGTTTGAGGCGCCCGGTCTAAAACGAAAATGAACTATTATCTCATATCTGCCGGGTTGTCCGGTCCCAGTAGACAAAACCAGCTGCTCTGCCGCAGAGAAACACAAGATGGGGCGAGGTGGCAACCACCTGCACCGGCCGTGCGTCGACAGCGAGAGGTGTGGGAAGCAAAGGTGGGTCCGAAAGCACTCGGTATCCTAGAAAACCAGCGCCCGCTGCCCGCCTGTTTTGCTCCGGCCCTCCCGTGTATATAACCGCGTCTCACTCCCACTCTTCCACGGTTCCACCCATCAACAGAAACAGCTTCAGTTCAGTGACACAGTTCAAGAAAATTCCACTACTACCATACACAGCAATCACAAGCCAGTCTCCAGTCTCCAGCAAGGCATCAAGACCAAGAAGAAGGAGAAAGAGATGGCTGGTCCGGCGAAGGCGTCGTGGATGGTGGCCGTGAGCGTGGGCGCCGTGGAGGCGCTCAAGGACCAGGCTGGCCTCTGCCGCTGGAACTATGCCCTCAAGTCCATCCACCGGGCAGCCAAGGCCAACGTCCGCGCCAGCGTCTCTCAAGGCACGAAGCAGCTTCCGGCCTCCGTGGTGGAGAGGCGGCAAGCGGAGAAGGCCGAAGAGGAGCTGAGGACGGTCATGTACCTCAGCTGCTGGGGCCCAAATTAGGATCACTAGTAGCTTAGGGGTGTTGCGTTCGTTGTAGCTTGTGCTTATGTGACAATACCCTTATGATCGATTGTAAATACAGCTCGATGATGATGATGAAAATTTCTGCTATGAGTTTACACCATCCTCCTTGTCCATGTGCTTCTGTGACTATTTTCTGAAAGGCCAAAGATCAATCCTTATCAGGAGAGCAAGAAAGTTCAGAGTTACACAGGCAGAGGAGTAGCTCAGAGCAGCTTCAGCTACTTGTTCAGAACAGAATAGCCCGACTCTGAACACCGGATGGAACATCGGGCTGCCCTCCAAGATCTCACATCTCCTGTGGTCAAATCAAATCGGACATCTCCATATCGCTGCGGCGGAGGCCATTAGAGATTATGGCGTCGCGTCCCTTCCAACCAATTTCTTCTCTGATTACTTTGATGGGGAACATGCATATGCGCCCCTTGCAACCAAATTCTTCTCTGGTTATTTTGATGGGGAACATGGATATGCTCTGTTGCTGGAGTCGACATGGCTCACAGAAGGTGGAGCTTCCGGGCATGCAAGAGAGGGAGAAAGTTCAGAGTTACACACAACACCGGGAGAGTAACTCAGCAAAGCGAGCCGCGTACAGAAAACAGAGCAGCTTCAGGTGCCAGAAAGATATCAAGCGTTCCTACTCCATCGAGGGAGCCGCGTTGGTGTTTATATTGATGTGTAGCCGCAGCTCTTGGATTGGTGTACAAGATAATACAAAAGGAGTTTGAGATGAATACAAGAGAGGGAAGGAGGTTGAGATTACAACACGTATATTCTAACACCCTCACTTAATCTCAACTAACCTAAGTTAAGATTATTCTTGAATTCTTCAAATGGTCTTGCTTGCAAAGCTTTTGTATAACCATCGGCCACTTGATCCTTGGAAGGAATAAACCGAATCTCAAGTTTTTTTGCTGCAACTCTTTCTCGCACAAAGTGAAAATCAATTTCTATGTGCTTTGTCCTGGCATGAAATACTGGATTTGTAGACAGATATGTTGCTCCCAAATTATCACGCCACAAACATGAGATACGATTCTTCTTGATCCCCAATTCTTCAAGAAGTGATTCAACCCAAATGACTTCAGCAGTTGCATTTGCCAAAGACTTGTATTCAGCTTCTGTACTTGACCGTGATACAGTAGCTTGCTTTCTAGCACTCCAGGAGATAAGATTAGATCCAAAAAACACTGCAAAACCTCCAGTTGATCTCCTGTCATCACTACATCCTGTCCAGTCAGCATCAGAGAATGCACTCACGAGAGAGGAATTAGACCGTTTGAAATGAAGTCCTATTCCCATAGTATGTTTCACATATCTTACAATCCTCTTGACAGCTGACCAATCTGCAGAAGTAGGTGCATGCAGATATTAACAAACCTTGTTGACAGCAAATGAGATATCTGGACGTGTAAGAGTTAAATATTGTAGTGCTCCCACAGTACTCCTATACCTTGTACTCTCCTCCTCTTGAAGTGGCTCACCCTCATATGCTGAGAGATTTTCTGAGGAGGATAAAGGTGTAGGCATTGGCTTACAATTTTTCATCCCCATGCGAGACAGAAGCTCAATGATATATTTCTCCTGATTTAACACAATACCATCTTGAGTTTTCTTGACTTCAATACCTAGGAAGAAATGCAAATCTCCTAGGTCCTTTAAGGCAAATTCTGAACTCAGATCATGCAAAAGAGTATTAGTAGCATTTTGTGAAGAACTTGCAACTATGATATCATCAACATATATAAGCACAAAAATGACTACTCATGCCTTGTTATAAATAAACAAGGATGTGTCAGCCTTGGAGGCAATGAAGCCAATATATTTCAACTGTGAGCTCAATCTGGAATACCATGCTCTGGGTGCTTGTTTTAAACCATAGAGTGCTTTATCAAGCTTGCAGACATAATGTGGCAATTTCTTACTCTCATAACCAGGTGGTTGCCTCATAAACACTTCCTCTTCCAGAACACCATGCAGAAACGCGTTCTGTACATTAGCTGCCTTAGACTCCATCCTCTGGATACAGCAATAGCCAACACAAGTCTGATAGTTGCAGCTTTCACAACGGGACTAAAGGTGTCCTCATAGTCAATGCCATAACGTTGCTTAAAGCCCTTTGCAACTAGACGTGCCTTATATCTGTCAATGGAGCCATCTGCTTTCTTTTTAATTCTATACACCCATTTGCAGTCAATGATATTTTTATCTCTCCGGTTTGGTACAAGGTGCCAAGTTTTATTCCTCATGAGTGCAGAATATTCCTCATCCATTGCCTTCTTCCATTTAGGATCATCAAGTGCACTGTTTAATGATGTTGGTTCTCCTGAAATACACAACATTCCATATGGTATAGTTCCATCATTCCAAATTTTAGGATTTCGTATACCTTTTTGTAGCCGGGTCATAACACGTGAAGAAACCTCTGGCTGTACCACTGGTATACTCGCCACAGAAGATCCAGGAGAATCTGCTGATGCAGTGGGCTGATTTGTCATCATGTGCGCAGGAGATCCTGTGCCTGCTGGTGTGGCTGCCCCTCTCACAGGCACATGGGCGTCGCCCATCCGACCCGGCGCAGAAGATCCGCCACCCGACCGCGACTGGACACGCGCTCGGTGCGAAGGGAATCTGTCCCCGCTACTGGACCCGCCTGGCGCTGGTGCACGGTGTGAGGGGGATTCGGCCCCGCCGCTGGCCCCACCTGAAGCTGACGCGGCCGCGCGGGAGTGGCCCTCCCTGGATCTGGAACTGGAGCCGTCAGGGGCGCGATCCGAGGCGGATGCGCTCGCTCGATCCGAGGACTGCGCGCGTGCAAGGGTGGAAGGCGCCGCCGGATCTCCCTCGTCATTTGTGCCAGGTGCGTCTTCTTCCTCAGCATGCAATATTGGGTCAAAATCAGCCATATTTTCGAAATCTTGGTCACTTTGAGCACCGTTTTCTCCAGGGACCTGCACAGGCATAAGAGAGAGACCAGTACCAGCAGGAATATCATCACATTGGTTAGTACAATTGTCGCCCCCATGATCAAAAGACCGAAGATGTGAAGGAAGAAGAAGAATTTCCTTGCGGAGAAGTGCACCGGCATTAGGATGAAGAGAGGCAAAGGGAAACACGGACTCATCAAATACAACATCTCGTGATATATAGACCCGGCCAGTAGGAACATCAAGGCACTTGACCCCTTTATGCATGGGGCTATAGCCTAAAAAGACACACCGTTTTGAGCGGAAAGCGAGTTTGCGTGTGTTGTAGGGCCTAAGATTGGGCCAACAGGCACAACCAAAGATACGAAGAGATGTGTAGTTAGGTGTGACACCAAGAAGTTGTGTAATAGGTGTTTCAAATTTGATAACTTTACTTGAAAGCAAGTTGATAAGATATGTGGCAGTTAAGAATGCTTCATCCCAGAATTTAAGTGGCATGGAAGCATTTGCTAGCAATGCAAGTCCCATATCAACTATGTGACGGTGCTTTCTTTCAGCAGATCCGTTTTGTTGGTGAGCATGAGGACAAGAGACATGATGTGATATGCCAAGCTTTTGAAAGAAAGAATTTAATTTTTCATACTCACCACCCCAGTCACTTTGCATAGCAATGATTTTAGAGTTCAGTTTGCGTTCAACAAGATTTTGGAAATTGAGGAAAACTTGGAATACATCAGATCGTTTCTTCAGTAGGTAAATCCAAGTAAATTTACTATAGTCATCAATAAAACTTACATAATAGGAAAATCTACCAACTGAAGTAGGAGCTGCCCCCCATACATCTGAAAAGATAAGTTGTAAAGGGGCAGTAGACACACTAGTAGAAATTGGGTAAGGTAACTGATGACTTTTTGCTTGTTGACACGGATCACAAACTGACTCAACACTAGGCTCATAAGAGAGTTTATTTTTGCTAAGGACATATCTAACTATGATTGAAGATGGGTGACCCAAACGACTATGCCACCTTGATGTAGATAGCTTGGTGACAATGTTTGCTTGTTTATTGGACCATGAAGAAGAAGATGATGATGATGATATGAGTGGGTAGAGGCCTCCCACACATCGTCCTCTAAGAATGACTCTCCTTGTTCTCAAATCCTTAACCAAGAAAAAGAAAGGATAGAATTCAATGAGAACATTGTTATCAAGAGTGAATTGATGAACGGAAACAAGATTTTTAGATGTTTGAGGAACATGCAAGACATTGGTCAAGTGTAAATTTTTCATGGGGTTTTTAACAATTGAACTATCAATGTGTGTGATATCCATACCAGAACCGCTTGCCGTGCGAATTTGGTCGCCTCCATTGTACTTCTCCCGCATCATCAACTTGTCAAGTTCACCTGTGATGTGGTTTGTTGCTGCACTGTCGGCGTACCAGTTAGTATCCACGACATAGGAGACTGCATGCGCCTCTTTTTCTTCCTGGTCGTTTTCTTCATAACGCCACCAGCAAGCTCATGCACCTCCTGGATGATGTTTGTACCATATCTGGCACTCTGGATAGTCATGCTGTTGATCACAGACCTGCTGTTGTTGTTGCTGTCGAGGGAGGCCTTTGAATCCGCCGCCTCTATTGGAGAAAGAGGACTGGCGGTCACCGCGGTCACCACGATCACCACGGCCACGCAATCTTCCTCCGCGCCCGCGAGATCTGCCTCGTGACTGGCCACGGCCTCTGTAGACTGCATTAGCGGATGAGTGGAACCCGCCTGAAGATGAATCGCCTAGCATCTCCATCCTTTGATCAAAGGCAGAGATCTGAGTAAAGAGATCGTCGGCTGTGATGGTGTTTTTGACAGCGCCGATCGCCGCCACCACGGAGTCATAGTCACGGTCCAAACCGGCCAGGATATAGTCCACCATCTCCGGATCAGATACGGGACGACCGGCAGCAGCAAGTTCATCCCAAGACTTTTCATCTTCGCCATATACGCCGAGCTTGACATGGAGCCCTTCTTGGTATTGGTGATGGCTATTCTCAGATTAGTAATCCGAGACTGAGATTGTGAGGCGAAGAGATTTGTCACCGTCGTCCAGAGCTCAAAGGTGGAATCTTTCCCAACAACTTGTGCAAGAATTTCTGGAGACATGGAATTTAGAAGATATGATAGAACATGCTGGTCTTTGGCGATCCAGGGTCCGTATAGGGGGTTCGGCTCTAGGGCCGTGGTCTTGTCTGCCTTCGTGACCTCCACCATCTTGGGCGGAGCGGCGTCGGTGTTGTCCAGGAGCCCCGTCACCTGCGCGCCTCGCAGGGCTGGGAGGACCTGCGTCTTCCAGAGGATAAAATTGCCTCTTGCGAGCTTCTCAGACAGCGGCGATCCGAGGTTGAGGGAGACGCCGGCGGAGGAAGCCATGGAGACGATGATATGTGGTTTCTAGGGTTTTGATGTTGTGGCTAGATGTATGAGAAGAGGTGGCTCTGATACCATGAAAGATATCAAGCGTTCCTACTCCATCGAGGGAGCCGCGTTGGTGTTTATATTGATGTGTAGCCGCAGCCCTTGACTTGGCGTACAAGATAATACAAGAGGAGTTTGAGATGAATACAAGAGAGGGAAGGAGGTTGAGATTACAACACGTATATTCTAACAAGAATAATGTAAAACAGAAAAGGAGTTCGATCTCAGCGATACACCCCGCCCGCCCTCCAAGATCTGAGATCTTGTCTGATCGATTTGAACACCTCAAGGTCGTTGGCTGCAATGGAGGCCCTTAGAGATTCTGACATTGTGTTCCTTCCAACAATTTGTTCTACTGATCATTTCGTCGTTGTACGTTTTGCATCGTTTTCTGTTGCTCGGAGTTGACTGTAACGACCCGCGGATCCGATCCATGTTATGGCGACGGCGCAAGTGATGTGGCAGGAAGGAGAGGAGGGCGAGACTTGGAGCAGAGAAAGGAGATGGGAATTCAGATTTCACTCATCGCGTGCCTCAGCGTTTACACCCTTGTGTACCGCTGTGGTGAACTGGTGATCAGGTGAGACATCCACCTGCTGCGCGACTGAGATCGTTCACGTGTTCTGAGTTTCTTCGCTCTGCACTCATAAGTATATTTTTAGTCCGTCAACTCTTTCGAAAGTATAGGGATGGTCCCTCAACTCTAAAATCAGCAAAACTTAGTCCTTTAACTTTTAATACCGGATAAGTTTAGTCCCTCGTGCTGCTCCAAGTGGTTTTTTGTCGACGTGGCGTGGGATTAGACTCGAACCAACAAATGTGGGGCCCACCACATCTATCCATGTTTTTCACTTTGATTTCTGCTCTTTGTCTGTCTCACTTACCTGCGACGTCCTGCACCGTCACGCCCACACGGCCCACACACGCATGCTGGACCTGCAGCTCCGGTGACTGAGAACAGTTGCACGCTTGTCGTGCCCAGTCTGGCCGCCGCGCAGTCCGCCTCCTGCTGCTGCAGCATGCGTGTGGTCGCAGGGTATGCCGGCGACGTACTTCTCCTGCTACACCGCCAAGGTGAGCTCGCTGACGCGCACGACGGCTGCGGTGGTGGCTGCGTGTCGCTGACGCTGGGGCAGCGGTGGCACAACACGCACGACGGCGACCGAGGTGGCGGCGGAGTGAACATCGCGTTCGACGGCGGTCCACTCAGCACAGCGCGAACGGTTTCCTAATCCAGGCGAGCAGATGAGCAGGCTCGTTGTGCTGCACACACGGTGCTTCAGGAGCTGCTACTCGTCCAGATTATGAGCTGGGCGTTGGCGTTGCAACTTGCAAGGGCATGAACTCGGTGTTGCGGGCTACACGCACTGGAGCGGCCTCGTGGAGGTTCCATAGCTCGCCATAGTGCGCGCAGCAGGCTCATAGCACCTTCGTGCCACTACTACCGCCAAGGCCAAAGCACACAGCAGCGCGAAGTCAGTTTTTTTTTTTTTTTTTGCGAAGTCTAGTTTTAGTCAAAAACCACTCCATACCGGCAGGAAACCACCTGAAGCAACGCGAGGGACTAAACTTATCCGGTTTTAAAAGTTTAGGGACTAAGCTTTGCTGGTATTAGAGTTCAGGGATTATTTCTAGACTTTCGAAGAAGTTGAGGGATGAAAAATATACTTTTTCCTATGTAACACTAAATGTGATGAGAGCGATGACGTTAATAAGTAAACTGAACGCGTTTTCTGATCGGAGTGATGACTGACAGGGTGAGCGAGACAGAGAGCAGCCCGCCCGGCGGTATGGTGACATGAAGCAGACGGCCGGCGCCCGGCGGTATGGTGTAAACCATGGCCTCGGGCCTCTGGTTTTCCTTGCCCGTCCAAGTCTCCTCAAGAGCATGTGGCCAAAAATACCTACGTGAGTCTGACTAAACCGCGTTGCAGAAAGGAGGATTGTTAGTCTAATCACTTGCCCATCCCAAGACGATGAGGAGAAGACTCCGGGATGCGCTGCGTGCGTGCCTAGAGTGGACTAAATGAACTCTATGTTGGCAGATTTGCATAATGAGAGTGTGCTTATCGGTGTCGGTGTACTACCACCAATCATATTAGACCAAGTGCCACTACTCCCAGCAAGTGGTTAACACACTGACTTCAGCACGGTGACAAGCATATTTTAGTAGTACTAGGTGAAGCATATTTCTCGCTTGTATAATTCTTTTTTGCAACACACTAAGATATACACAATACATTATACATGTACAATTATTCTTTGATTTTCCGAATATAGACATGTTCCTCGGTTGGGTGAGCCTTGCGCTCGTGCACGCTTTAGTTTAAAAAAATATCAACCTTAAGAAACAATGTGAATGAATAAAAAATACACTACAAGTAATCAATATGTGCAATAACCAATTGCGCTATTCTTGCATCATATTTAATATTTGATGCATTAGTCACACTACATATAAGAGAAAGAGAAAGAATATAAAGAAGAGCAAACAATACAAATAAATTTTGACACAGAATACCCATGAATTATGGTGGGCCCACCCTGGTTACAACGGTATAGTGGTTATGGGCTTACATCCATTGATCGAGTTCTCCATGGAGCAGTCGGGGTGAGAAGGTTGGCTTTAGCATGGTGACTGCTACATCCGAAATTTGGTGACCACCAGCGCACAAGCAGGTGCAACGTACCTCATAGAAGAACCTCCTTGACATCTTCAATCCATTTCCGCAATCGACCTTGGGAAACTCCATCCTAGGGAGAGAAGGACAAGCTGATGGAATGAGTTAATACAACATGCCATGTCAGTCTGCTTGTGTGGCATTGCTGTAGGTGAGGTGTTGATTCTCATGTCAAAACCATTGAAATGGTTGATTTGGTGTGGTGTGAAAAATTTAAGGACATCACTTGCGGTTCATGCACAAAAAAAATCAAAATACGGGCTATGTCTATGTATGATTTTAACCGCAATTAAGTTACTATTATTTTCTTTCTTACATTTATGTGTGAAAGATAGGTAGCTTTTTCTTATAATACTAATGTTTTGCGAGATCACCTTGAGTAGAACATACGCCTCATTCAACTCATTTTCACGCAGACTGTCATTTCTAAGTCACCCGGGAAACAATTATTAGCAAATTATATGCAACTTATGAGACATACAACTACTGTCTTTACATAGAATACAAAATCAATGGCATTTATAAATAAGATTTTGTAAGTCAGCTTTGAAACAGACAATCACAGTTTTTGTAGATTGTAAGAACTTCAAGGTGCCTCGAAAATGACATGAGAGCAAGGCAGAGGTTTGACGTGCATGTAATGCACCAAAAAGAAATCAAACCACCGACCTCTTTTTGAAAAGTCAACAAAATTTGCACGTAGTAAAGGAAGCAATTTATTAAAAAAATTGTTGATCTCATTTCCTTAATCAAACAAAATTGTATAGAGAAATACATATGGATTTGCACGCTGAGGAAAAAAAAGTAAAAATAAAATGAAGAACTATAGTGTTTCCCTTTTTCATGAATATTCATACTTTTACTCCGTGTAAAGCTTCACGCCCATTACTCGTATCTCATCTCTGCCGGCTTGGTCATATCGGCCGGAAAACGAGGTGCGCAGCCACTTGCACAGGGACGTCGACGTCGACAGCGGCAGATGCGGCGCAAGCAAGCAAAGGTGGATCTGAAAGCACCTGGTTTCCTGGAAAACCAACGCCTGCAGCCGCCTGTGTTGCTCCGGCTCTCCCGTATATAACCCCGGCCCACTCCCACTCCTCCTCCCATCAACACAAACGAGCATCAATTCAGTGAGATAGTTCAGAAAATCAGCTCTGTTCTTTTAGCATACACAAGGATCGCAAGTCAGTCTCCACTCTCCAGCAGCGCAGCAAGAACAAGGAGGAGGAGGAGAGATGGCTGGTCCGGCGAAGGCGTCATGGATGGCGGCGATGAGCGTCGGCGCGGTGGAGGCGCTCAAGGACCAGGCCGGGCTCTGCCGCTGGAACTATGCCCTCAGGTCCATCCACCGTGCAGCCAAGGCCAACGTCCGCGGCGGCGTCTCGCAGGGCACGGAGCAGCTTCCGGCAGCTGTGGCGGAGAGGCGGCGAGCGGAGAAGGCCGAGGAGGGGCTGAGGACGGTGATGTACCTCAGCTGCTGGGGCCCAAATTAGAAGTACCAGTAGCTCAGGCCTCAGGGGTGTAGTGTTCGTTACAGCAAGTATTAGTAAGCATGCAACCATGGCCTGAGATTTGGCTGGCTGCTCCCTGATCGGTTGTAAATATACCACCACGATGATGATGATGAAAATTTCGGCTATGAGCAGCCATGGCCTTCTGTGGCTATTTTTTGAGAGGCCAAAGACATATCAAGAGAGGGAGGAAATTCAGAGTTACACCGTGAGAGTAACTCACTCAGAAAAGCGAGCCGTTGTGCAGAAAACAGAGCAGCTTCAGCTGCCTGTACAAAACAGAGAAGGAATTCGATCTCAACGATACACTCAGCCGCCCTCCAAGATCTCAGACCTTGTAATGCTATGGTTCTTCCATACGGTTTCTGAATTTATTCAGAAGTAATTCATCGAGATAGTGCATCCTTTTCTTATTTATCCGAAAATACTAAAAAATACTATAAAGTGCAGCCGGATAGATCCAATCTATTTCTGAAATAGACAACCCGCACACACTCCCTTTCCAAAAAAAACACCAACCATTAGAGTTAGATTTATTAGTTTTGTTGCTAAAATATCAGTATTAAGCCCTAAACTGCCAGCGGATGGCCAGCAAGCTGAAAAAAAGAAAGAATGAGTTACATATTTCATATGCTCTCCTCTTATAGATAGGACGGACAAAGAACCAAATTTTTCGATCCCTTACTTCCCTCACCATTTTTTTAATGCAAATAGATTCAATCTAGTAATTTCTTTTAGGTTAAGTCTTGTTTGACCTGTGAAAGGCTTCCTTTGTTGAAATGTTCTGTTTGCAAAATTCCTAAAATAAAAGGAAAAAAATTCACTTTCCTAAACTAAGGACGGGAAATTAGAAGAGAGTATATCTTCTAAATTAATAATACTCACCTCAGGCCTTTCTGGAATGGGGTATTATCTGTCCCGATATATAGTTAATTCCAGGAGTAATAAATAGGAGTAAGTTAAATGAAGCGTTGATATAATTGGAATTGCGGAAGAAAATACCAATTTACTAAAAAAAGAAGAAAAAATATCTTATCGAAATCGAAAGAACTATTTTTTTAAAATTAAACAGAAGGGTTTGTAAATAAAAGCGCTAGTGCCACAACTAGTCCATAAATTGTTAAAGCTTTCATAAAAGCTATCGATTTTAACACCTCAAGGTCGCTGCAATGGAGGCCGTTAGAGCCTTAAAGATTCTGAGGTTGTGTTCCTTCCAACATATCATCTACTGGTTATTTTGACGCTGTATGCTTTGAATGGATTGCGAGTACTTTCCGTTGCACGGAGTTGACCCGTGGATCCGATCCAGCGTCGCACCGAAGGCGTAGGTGAGGTAGCAGGAGAGGATGGTGAGACTTGGAGGAGAAGAAGGTGAGGATCAGAGAAAGGATATGTGAATTCAGATGTCACCCATCGCATGGCTCAGCGTTTACACCCTTCTGTATCGCTGTGGTGATCACGCACGGCATTGACGTGCTGCGCGACTGAGATTGTTCGTGATGAACGTGCTCTGAATTTCTTCGATCTGCACTCTCATGAGCCGACAAGAAGATATGTAAAACTAAATGTGATGAGACTGATGATGTTGATAAGTAAAGTAAATGTGTTTTCTGATCGGAGTGATGACAGAGTGAGAGTGAGAGTGAGAGTGAGAGTGAGACAGAGAGCAGCCGGCTACCCAGTTGCAGAATGAGAGCTGATACTTTTGCATGAACAAACGCTGACATGAGGCAAGCGCCGGCGGCCTCTGGTATCATGGAAACCATGGCCTCCAGCCTCCGGTATTCCCTGCATGTCCACGTCTCCCGTACCTCCGGTCTCACCGTCACCGTCACCCCAAGAGCATGTGGCCAAAAGGTGTAGTTTACTTACGTGTGAGCACGAGTAAACCGCGTTGCAGAAAGGAGGATTGTTTAGTGTAATCACTTGCTGATCCTAAGAGGGGGGAGAAGATGCCCGGACGCTGCGTGCCCGGAGGTTGGCAGATTTGCAAGAGGGAGCGATCTTTATCTTGCTGTGTGCTAAAAGCGAGACATTTCATGGGCCACCACGAAGCCTCATCTGATGTACTCGGAGCAAGTGGGATAACACACTGACATTAGCACAGTGAGAGGCTGACAGCAGCGCACAACTTGCGACACAAGCGGCACGCCGCATTTCCCAACCTCGGCGTGCGTCCGACAGTAACCTGAGGCACCCGGTTTCCGCCCACGAGTCCACAAACCATGCGCGCGCCCGTATGTACGAGGCAGCGACGGCCGGCACGTACTGTAACCCATGCCAACATCGGCGTCTCGTATAAAACTACCAAGAGGAGCACCGCCATTTGGCAGGCAGCTGAGCACACTTACACGCAGAGCAACGAACGAAGCACTCACTCGAGCACGGTTATACTCCTGGAATCGTGCAATTAGTCAGATGGCGAGCGGCAGCGGGAAGGCGACGGCCTCGTCCTGGGCGGCGGCGATGAGCGTGGGCGCGGGCACGGTGGAGGCGATCACGGAGCGGCACGCCGGGCTGTGCCGCTGGAACCACCAGGCGCTCCCGTGTGTCTTCCAGCAGCGCGCCGGCACCTCGGCCGCCGGGAACGGCGCCTGCGGCAAGGGCAAGGCGGCGACCACTGCCGGTGGAGCAACGGCGAGGCAGGAGCAGGAAGAGGAGCTCCGGACTGTGATGTACCTCAGCAACTGGGGACCCAACAACTAACTAGCCGATTAGTCATTGCTCTAGATCTTCAAAGATGGCTAGACTGGTTCGTGCTAGCTGCACCAGTTCGTGCGTGTAAGGATGATGTGATCTGAGCACGCATATTCACTCTCGAGCTCGTGTAAGAGTAAGACACGGTAGCGTGCATAGTACTACTTCCATGATCCGGAAGGATTTCAGAAAGAAAAGCATAAATGGACGTCCCTTCCGGCCTCCTCCAGGCTCAACTAACTGCAATGTCCAAACGGTCGCTCTGAATTTGCAGCATCGAGCGTTTAGGCCTTGGTACAGTTCATCGCCGTTACAAGTTAGTCAGTCATATGCCCAGGGAAAACAGTGTCAATTCTGCTGCAAAAAAAGGCATATCCCGACTATTGCAGTCGATGCTGCGTGAACCAGTTAATCCAGCCTGAATTATTTGCGGACAGAGCCCCCGTCCTTGCTCAATTGCTCCCATATTAAACTTTACCTGCAGGATTATGATCAAATTTAAATCTCAAAAAGCACGGACACACTCCATTATGGAATGAAGGGAATAGTTCACAATGTACACAGCGATAGCCCATGGGCAGTACTTTGCTGACATTAAAACAGAACAAGGTATCCTGCTAACCAGTTTGAGCATCCCCAATGGATTGCGCTGAGTTCACTGAGGCAGCCACACTCCATCCGCTCACAGACAATGCTCCCCTGTCAAACTGACTATTTCAATCCACCTGCACATGGCATGATAACATACATCTGTTACCATTCACTAAGAACAAAATCATACACAAATTTCCTATATGTTGGAATGATGATGGTGGAGATAGCTGGCACCGGCCCTACGGCAGACTCCTCCTTCATTATCTTGGCCTTTCCTATATGGTGGAGGGATCTTGCTGCGGCAATAGAGGTGTAGCGGTTCACGGTGGAACGTGTGGGCGAATGATAGACGAGGGAGGCACCGGCTAGGGATGGTGTTGTACATATAGCCGGTCTCCACAGGTCTCACGTACCTCCTCCCCTTTGATCCAAGGGCTCTAGAGAAATCTCAACCCCTCCCAATACATTCCTTGATGGCCAATGATCCCGTAGGAACAAACGTGGATGAAATCAACGAAGAATCGCGGAAGTTACACACAAATCCGCAGCCAGGGTCGGGCGGTACGACCATGCACGATTATACCGTGCACTTCTCGAACCTGCACGTGGGTCTTTCATATTTTGGTCATCATTTCCTTATACGAAGTGCAATTTAGGCGTTCCTAGGCTCGTTGGAATTTATGGACGAGCCCGATAATCTCCTGATATTTTATTTTCAATTTGGGCTAGTTGGAAAATATAATTTTTTTTTGTAATACTCTCCAAAAAGCATGAATGTACTGCGTCTAACTTTTTGGTTTGGCCCCAACTTGGTCCCTTTCATCGTGCTAAGTCCACGGGGCTCACGAGGCGTACCTCCCCAACCCTCGTCCCTCGCGTCGCTCTCGCGAGCGCCGGTGGGGGAACCCTAGCCCCCACCCCGTGCCTGTCTCCTACATCATCCCCTCCCCTCGCCGCCGCCAGAAGGCGCCGCCGGGCGAAGCCCGGTGCGCGTCGGAGGCCGCGGGGGCCTTCTTCTTCTCCCGGCGTGCGGCTGTAGCGCGAGATGCGGTCACGGATCCATCGTGGATCTGGTCATGTGGGCGCGGTCTCGGCCTCCCCTGCTCGGCCGACGGGTCTCGGTTGGGGGACTTCTCCTTGCTGAGATCTGGCAGCGGCGGCCTGGATCATCCAGATCCCGGCAAGGATGGCGGCGGCCCATGCACGAGAGATGGAGGTCTTCGACCAGATCTGGGTGAAAACCTGCTATTGGTTATTGCCAAGGCCGACGATGGCGACGATGTTCGCGTCGTTCCCTTCCTGAAGGCATCGCCGAGGAGAAGTTCAAGGCCACTCTCTGCTATCTCCGGGGAAAACCCTAGATTAGTAGATCGGATGACGGCGGCTCTCTGGTGTTGTTTCCCTCTTGGGGGCGTCATTTTTGGAGGTGCACACGGGCTCGAGGGACCAGAGGACGGCGTCTTTGGTGGAGCAGTGCTTCATCTTACACATCGATGGTGGCGGATCTCGGCGGTGTGGCACTGTGGAGATTCGGCGTCTTATGCGTGGAGATGGACTCGCGCAGGAGGAGGAAGCTGTCTGGCGTCATGGTGGCGTTGATGGCAGAGAGGCCTGGCAAGGTCGGTGCTTCAGTTCTGCTCTGAGGATGGACCGAGGGATGATGGAGGTGACGGCCCTTGCAGCGGGCGGTG